AGCCATTCGTTCTGAAATGGTCTAGGGTTCCCTGCTCAAGCAGGGGCTGGACTAGAAGACCTCCAAGGTCCCTTCAAACTCTCGTTATTAGGTTATTTTCCCTTGCTACACGAGGCACGCCAGTTACTAAGTCCCTGGATTTTAATCATGTGACTGTGGTGATACTGCAGTGGCTGTAAGCAGGTTTTGTAGGTCACTTTGAACAGTCGCTAAACGAATTGTTGTAAGTCAGGGACTGCCTCTATTTTTTTGTAATGTTAATAACTGATGGTAAAAGACAGAAATATCTACAGCTCAGCTATTTCCATTGTCAGCTTACAACTTAGTTGCTGCACCTGTGCAGGCAAGGTGATTTGAAATACCACGGCCTCCATTTTCCAGAAGTTGTTTGCTAAAGCTTTTAGTAGGTTTATTTTTTTTTTCCACTTGCTTTTTGTCTTAATATTGTGGCTACAATCGCAATCCTGATTTTTTTTTTTTAACCTTCTATTGATCCCAGTTAAATACGAAACGCCTTAATAATTCATTGTCTCTGTTCCTGATTGATTTTTGCCTTTTTAAGTAGCTTGAGATATTAATTTCAAATGGAAGGGGGAAATCTAAATATTTCTGCCTGGAAATAGCCGGTAATGCTTTCCGTCCCCAATCCCCACTGGTTGAAGTAAGAATTTTGGGACTTTAAGTCGGTGCCTGAGTTTGTCGATTTCCTTTGTGATGCACCGATCTCTCTGGGTTTTAGAGACCAGGGTCTGTCCTTTTTTTTTATTATTAATCAGTACATTGCTCTGGGAATCTTTGTGGTTGAAAAGCCAGGTATAAATATTTCAAATCCGGGCATGGGGTAGGGGAAGAGAGTACAAATGTTTGAAAAGAAGCCGCCAAGAGATAAGACTTACGATGGACTTCTTAGAAATGGAATTTGCAGAAGACAGACAGGTGATACTAGAGTTTTCCTTCACGGAACTACTTTAAGGGGGGAAAAAAATCGGGGGAAATACGATTTTAAAGAAATGGAGCTTTTTTTTTTTCCAAACAAAACAACACGGAAGTAAGACACCTCCATGGGACCTCAAGGCATTACGTGCTCATTTTATGACCAGCTTGCAAGTCAAACAGGACAAAGAAGGAGCAATGGAGCTTTTTAGTCTGAGACTGGCTGCTGCTGCTGTTTTCTATGGGGACGGCCCTTGTCAGTCCTTGGCTTGCAGGTTGGTTGGGTTGCTAAACAACCCGAATGGGATAAGGAGAGAGAGAGGAGAGAAAAGGAGAGAGACAGACAGAAAGACAACAAAAAAAGGGGAAAGTCGAACCCACGGCACTGTGCAAGGTGTTCATAATGCAATGCTTCTCTGTAAAATTCTGAATAAAATATTTTAAAATATCTGAGATTGGATGTGGGAGTCAAAAGCAAAGCCTCAGAGCCTACTTATGTGGAGTTTGCACTCTGCATATCGAGAACAAATGGAAGGAAGGAAGGAAGGAAGGAAGGAAAGGAAGGAAGGAAGGAAGGAAGGAAGGAAGGAGTGGGTGAGTAGCGGGGGAGGAGGAAGGGGGAGAGGAGAAGGAAAGAAGGAAGGAGCAAGTAGCAAGAGGGGAGGAAGGGGAAGAGGGGAAGGAAGGAAGGAAGGAAGGAAGGAAGGAAGGAAGGAAGGAAGGAAGGAAGGAAGGAAGTTAGTTGTGTGAACAAGCTACATTGCATTTTGCAGAAAATCCTTTCTGTGCTGGTGAATGCTTTATCTTCCATGCAGGAGATCCAAACTTCAGCTTCTGGCCTTTGGGGTTTGGGGAGGTGCTAAGAAGAGCTGTCAGTATTAGAGGTGACTTTGAGCCCGGTAGACCTGCGGTCTGGCGACATACAGGTAGTCGTGATCACAATTGGAAGCAGAATTTATGTTGCTAAGCAAGGCTGAGAGAGGAGATTTTTGCAACCTTTTTTTGCCTTGGTTGTTAAATGAATCAGTGCAGTCGTTAAGTGAAATGCGGTTGTTAAAGCAAATCCAGCTTATGACTGTTTTTCACACTTACAACTTATACCTCCCTCTTGGTCACGGGACCAAAATCCAGGCAGGTGGCAGGTGGCTCGTATTTACGACCGGTTGCAGCATCCTGGGGTCACCTGATCCCTTTTTGGGATCTTCTGAGACGTGATGTCAATGGAGCCAGGTTCGCTTAACAAACCGTGCGGCGAACTTAACAGCCAACAACCGAGTCAAGGGAGGTCGTAACTTGGGGCAGAATTCATTGAACAATTGTCTTGCTTAGCAATGGGCATTTTGGGCCGAATTAATGGTCGTAAGGCGAGAACTGTTTATACTCAAGAGAGGGAGTTGCTTTGCATACGCAGCAGGAAGGCAGGCAGAGGTGATTTGTGCTTTGGTTTTTCAGGTTATCATCCCCCCAAAGCTTTCTCCTTAAGGTTAGAAAATCAATTTCTAAAGTTGGCTCTGGGTTGTTGGTTTTTTTGGCTTGGAATCTGAATTAATTCGTTGCTCCTGCAAATTACAGACCCGTTAAAATCGCTTGTGTCGTATTAAAAATATGACTCTTGAAAATGGCTCTTGCTGGGTTTCCCTGGTGCCATCACTGCTTAGTAACATGCTACCTTTCTAGGCTACCTATACAGATGAATAGAGTTGGAAGGGACCTTGTAGGTCATCTAGTCCAACCCCCTGCTTAAGCAGGAGACCCTATACCATTTCTGATAGACAGCAGTCCGGTCTCTTCTTGAAAGCCTCCAGTGATGAAGCTCCCATAACATCCAAAGGAAACTTCTGTTCCAACAGCTGATTGCTCTCACTGTTATAAAAATCTCCTTATTTCCCGGTTGAATCTCTCCTTGTTCAGTTTCCATGCATTATTCCTTGTCTGGCCTTCAGGTGCTTTAGAAAACAGCTTGACCCCTTCCTCCTCTCTGGGGCCGCCCCTCAAATATTGGAAGATGCTATCCTGTCTCCCCTGGTCCTTCTCTAGACTAGCCATGCCCAGTTCCTGCAACCGTTCTTCATATCTTTTAGCCTCCGTCCCCTCATCATCCTGGTTGCTCTTCTCTACACCCTTTCCAGAGTCTCAACATTGTTTTTTATAGTGTGGTGATCAAAACTGGATGCAATATTCTAGGTGTGGCCTTATTAAGGGTTTATAGAGTGGTATTGGTCCGCATTTTCCCAATTCCCTGGACGAGCGAAGCTCGGCTGCCATAGCCCTGCTCCAAACTCACATGCCGTAGGTACCCAAGGCCGTTTCTGGTCAGCACATCTGTGAGCTGCTCGTAAGTCCAAAAGAAAAATAAAGTCTTTCAGAATACCGGATATTTATTATTCAGCACATTGAGGTCTCCGGGAACCTCTTAACCATGGAAAGAAATAACCCCACAGCAAGTTAGTTCATCTGCGAGAATTTTGAAAGAGCGCCAGGGCTTGGCCGAATGCGATGCTCGCTGCAGGACAGGAAGCTTTGGCTGAAAGATTGGGAAGCTGCCTGTGTGTGTGTGTGTGTGTGTGTGTGTGTGTGTGTGTGTCTTGTCCTGTGGAGAGGTGGTTGCGATGCTTAATAAAGTCTCTGGAGCCAGCAGGATGAAATGGAAGGAAGGAAGGAAGGAGAAAAAGGAAAGAAAGAAAGAAAGAAAGAAAGGAAGGAAGGAAGGAAGGAAGGAAGGAAGGAAGGAAGGAAGGAAGGAAAGAGAAAGAAAGAAAGAAAGAGAAAGAAAGAAAGAAAGAAAGAAAGAAAGAAAGATGGTAGTCCTCACTTTATGACCATTCATTTACCAACTTAAAGCGAGGCAGCGAAAGGGATGTGGATCAAAGGAGGGATTCTCTCTGTTGCTTCTTCTCAGGGGTTCTTCTGGCATTGCATTCACCTGTCAAAACAGCGCTGCTGGTAGTCCTCGACTTACGACCACAATTGAGCCCACCATTATGGTTGCTAAGTGAAACATTTGTAAAGTGAGATTGTGAGAGAAAATACCAAGCTTGGAAAACACCAAGGGACCCCCCCACAGTCCTCCTCCTCTTCCTCTTTTGCTCTGCCGCCTCCTCTCTGCAAACCCCTTTCCCTTGTAGCACTGACGACATTACCTGGTTGGGTCATGAAACGTCTGCAAGAAAACCATCAAGCTCAGAGACCCCCCCCCCCAAATTCGACAGTTCTCTTCCTCCCCCTCTTCCTCCCCCTCTTCCATCATCATCACCGCCACCACAAACCCCATGTCCTACTAGCACTGTTGGTGTCACCTAGTAGGATAAGCGAAATGTCTGCAAAAAACTAACCAAGCTCAAGAGCATAAATGACACCCACAGTTCAACTCTGGGGTACAAATATTCTCCTTTATTGGCAAAAGTCTGCCTCTCCTCTTCCCCCCCCCTTCTTTCTTTTTCTCTCTCTCCCTCCCTCCCTCTCTTTCTGTCCCTTTCTCTCCCTCCCTCTTTCCCTTTCTTTTTCTCTCTCTCTCTCTCTCCCTCCCCCCCCTTCTTCCCCTCTGGCACTCCCTTATCTCAAAAAAACAAACCAAATCTCTCATTCAGCAGGTTGCTGCTGCCTGGGCTCAGCAGCAGCGCCAACTGGCTCCGTCAGCGCTCCGGATCACCTGATGGCAGGTCAAAGGGGTAACGTCATTGTTCCTCTCTCTCTCTCTCTCTTCCTCCCCCCCTCTACTTCGCAAAGGCCTGCCTGCCATTTGCCTGGGTGGGGCAGGCTCCTTCCTGTGGGGGAGAACCCGACACCCTCCCAAGTTCCATCTTTCTCCTCCCACCCCCTGAAAAGCAGGTTTTGCCTCCATTTCCCTTTCTCCTCCAGGGCGCGGAGGAACCCGTCCGCCGTCCGGTTCCTCTTGGATGCAGCTCTCCTCCGGGAGGTCCTGCCCGGTCTTCTCTTTCGGCGAAAAGGATTATTTGTCTAACATTTACTGACGGCTCTTGTTTCGTCCTCTTCGGCTTCTCCCATCCCTTCCTCCTCTCCAAACTCAACGGGGAAGGTGGTGGTGGGGGGAAACTCCCGCAGACTTGGCAAAGCAGCCCAGGTGTACTTTGCCTCGGCACAACTCCGCCAAAGTTGCGAAAGGGCTGCCGCAGCTCAGGTATCGGGAGGTGGAGACTCCGCGCCGGTTGGATGAGGAAGGCCAGCATTTCCTCCCTGCAGGCCGCGGTTGTACTTTGCTCCTTGGAGAAGGTGGTGCTCCGGGCCAGCAGCCCACAAAGCCGTATAATGCGTCGGCAGAGGCCATTCCCACGGGGCAGCCTGGCCTTTTGAGCCCATTTTGATACATTGCTTCACCGCCGGGGGACCCCCCCGAAGGAATCGGGCATCTTGAATGCTTTGCTCCCCCCACCCCAAAGGCCTGCATGGATCATTGAGGGAAAAGAGCCTGTCCCCCCCCTTCCCCACCCGGCTGGCAACGTCTCTCCGGCTGGCAACGGGCCGCCACGGAGGAGCAAAGGAGGCAGCGGCAGGCCGAGAGGCTGCCGTGCGGAAGGGCGAGAGGAGACAGTCTTTAATGAGCGGAGAAAACGGATACCGAGTGACAATGGGAGTAGTAAGTCTCGAGTTATTTGCCACTCTTCGCGGGCTTTTGGGGGGCCTGTTCTGGAATTTGGGGTAGGGTCTCAAGTCTTTATACAAATCCGCCTTTGATTGCTTTATTGAATGCCTCGGGCTGGTTGGCTTAGGGGGTCTCCAACTCAACAGCGTCCATCCCGTCTCTGAATCTTGCTCTCGTTGCCGGATTTTAAAAAATCCCCTCCAAATCTTTTAAAGCTTGTTAAGACGAGCAATCTGGAATGATTTGGGGAGTCTTTGAGCCTGGGAAAGTTCTTTTTTTCCCCTCCCTTCCTCTTCTGGTGTTCCTTCTCTTCTTCCACGGTAGGAGAACAGAGTGAGGAAGAGGCTAAAGAAAAAAGTCTTTATTTCTTTGAGGAATTTTATGTGGTTCCCCCTCTAGGGAACTGTGATTTGGGAAGGGGCCCGATCATTTTTAAACAGAGCTCACTAGCGAAAATTTTAAAAAAAAATTCTCCTGAAAAAAATTAACTTTTGGTAACTTAGCATAGGACTGTGAGCTTTTTTGCTTTTAAAAATCCCCATGGATTAATTCTTTAATCACTTGATGGACATTTTTCTATCAGCAAATCCACAATTAGTGGATTTTTTTTGGGGGGTGGGGGCAAGAATTATCTTGCAGCACCAGAAGTAGAAACAGAAATTCGCCATTTGTAGGCAGAAAGAAAAATCTCTCCATTCCAAGGGCCTCGTTTTTTTTTTCCTTTACTCCAAGAAAGAGACGCCATTAAAATGTCTCCAGTCCCCCAAAACGCCTTGTTGCTGCTTTCAAGAAATCCTCCAGGATTTGGGGGAGGCAGATGCTTTCAAAAGCCACTCATCACTCGTTGGCGAGCTAATGATTGGCATCTCCTAAAATGGCCTAAAAAACCCCTCAGGTGGGGCACCCAGAGGACATCTCCCCCCCCCCATGTTGCTGGACCCAAGGCCCCAAAAGCCCACCTGGGGAAAACCAACCCCAACCGATCTGGAGCGAGCAAAGTTGGAGTTCTTTGGCCTCGCCCTCTTCTCTCGCAGGTGTAAGTTGATCTTAAGGGCTTTTCAAAAGCGGTGAAACAGAAGATCCGTGGGCTTTTTCACGGATGCGTTTCCTGCTCGGAAGACCAACCTTGCCCTTCTGGCTCGTTCTCTTCGAGGTGGTACTGGGGTGGAAAGGAGTTTGTCATTCCTTAGGAGTCGTGATTTTCTTTTCTTTTTTTTTTCTTTTTGTTTGGAGCTCGTCTGAATCACCCGTCAGAAAAAGGGGGAGACGCCTTTCGGCATCATCTAAAGGAGTGGCAGCTTTGAAAAGCCAAATGCTCTCGGTGCTCAGGGAATCATTTCTGCTCCCGGCCGGAAATTGGCCATAACAGGATAAAGATCATCCCCGTAAACACGAGGCAGTCCTCAATTTAACGCCCAAATTTGACCCTCAAATTTCGGCTGCTAAGAGAGACATTTGTCCCGTTTTACGCACCGTTCCTGGCTACCTTTGTCCAATGAATCATTGACATTGCTCAGTTAGTAACCCGGTTGTTGAGTGAATCTGGTTTTCCCGCTGACATGGCTGTGGCTGCAGTGTCCCAGTGTCACTGACGAGCAAAGTCAGCGTTGTCCGCTTAACAACGGTGTTAACTAACTTCGCAACCGCTGTGATTCACAAGGGTGGCAAGAAAAAAAAACGGGGCGGACTCCACTTGACATGTCTCGCTCAGCGGGAGACAGGTTGGGTTCGATTGTGGTCGTAAGTTGAGGGCGGCCTGGTAACTAGCCAGTGGACCAGTTCCCTGACCCCGGGACACCGCCACTGTCCGAAACCCATCATAAGTATGAGTCGGTTGCCAAAGGCGGTCGAATTTTAATATTGCACGACTGCCGGGATTTCGCACTGCGGTTGCAAGCGTGGGGAAATGGTCCTACGTCGCTTTTATCAGTGCCGTTATGACTTCAAACGGTCACTAAATGAATGGTTGTTAAGTGGGAGGGCAACCTGTGCTTTAGCGGCTCTGGGAGGAGTTTCCCGGCCTTTTCCAAACAGCGTGAATCATGAAATGGAGTTAAGAGAGGAATTTATAGCGTAATAAACCGGCTTTTATAGCGTAATAATTCGGCGTGCGATCTCAGGCCTTTTTAACAAGCCGGTTTGCAGAAGCATGCTTCGCACCCAGGCAGTCCTCAACTTTCAACAGTTGGCTTAGTGACCGTTCTAAGTTACAACGGCACCAAACAAAGTGACTTAGTTTTTCACACTTTCACAACCGTAGCAGCTTCCCCGGATTCACGGGATCAAAATTTCAGAGGCTTGGCAACTGACTCATATTTATGACGGTCGCAGTGTCACCGTCAAGCAAAGTCAGTGTTGTTCACTTCACAACTGGGTTGCTAACTGAACAGCCGCTGTGATTTCACAAGGGTGGCAAGAAAACAGGACAGAATCTGCTTAATACACGTCTTGCTTAGCACAACTGTGGTCGTAAGTTGAGGACAGCCAGGGAAGTCAGTCAGTGGTCCACGACCATCTCTGATCCTTCTTCTTCTCCCTTCTTGGTTTTAGCCGTTCCCCCTTTGCCGGATGGAGCCCATAAGCAAGACAAATCACATTATCGCACCGTGCACTAACACAATTTCCGCCTCGCTACCGCCTGTTCCAGCCCTGCGCTTTGCAATAAAACAGCCTGCCTTTTCCAGCCATTTTGGCGTTGCGTTTGCTGCCGGTGTAACCCCTGGTGTGTTTTCCCTTACTTAAGACCTGTGGCTTTGCACTCTCCCATTTCTTTTAAAATGGTCTTTTAATTCAACGGTTTATTTAGCTCTTCGTATATTCCAACATTAGCTGCCTTGCGATTAAAAAAAGCCCTGGGCTTTTTTTTTTCCTTTAAACTTCTAAAAAAAAAAAACCAACCCTGAAGAGTTTGTTTCGGGGTGGGTTGTGCAGAGTGTGTTTGTTAGCAAAATATTGACGTTTGACCAACCTCTGCAAAGAGAAAGAATAGAATAGAATAACCGAGTTGGAAGGGACCTTGGAGGTCATCTAGTCCAACACGCTGCTTACACCACTTCAGACAAAGGGTTATCCTGCTATGTATCACACAAACTTACTTATTTATTAGCTGACTCTAACCAACCCTGAATACTTTCCATACAGGTTGTCCACAATTTACAAGCACAACTGAGTCCAAAATTTATGTTGTTAGGTGAGAAATTTGTTCAAATGAGTTTTGCCCCATTCTATGACTTTTCTTACCACCACTGACCCACATTTATGACGGTTGCCCTGTCCCCAGAATCCCCTTTTGCGACTTTCTGACAATCAAAGCCAACAGGGAAGACAGATTCACTTAACGACCGGGTCACTAACTGAACAACTGGAGCGATTCACTTAACAAACGTGGCGAGAGAAGTCGTAAAATGGGACAAACTTCACTTAGTAACAGAAATCTTGGGCTCGATTGTGGTGGCAAGCGGAGGATTTACCTGCATAGGGTTTCCTGCTTAAGGCAAGGGGTTGGACTAGAAGACCTCCAAGGCCCCTTCCAACTCTCAAGCTTCTGTTTCTCTCACTTGGTGAGCCGGAAGAGCTGGAAAGAGAAAGAAAAGCGGCATTGTATGGATGTCTGGAAACAAGCTATGTTGCTCCCACCTGACAGCCTAAACAGGTACTTGATGGCTCAAGGTTTTCCCAGAGATAATGGATTTCATCTTTTATTCATTGATAAAGCTTTTGTGCTTGGGCAAGAAACATTTTTAAAAATGTGTTATCGTAGAAGTGATTCTTAGGGGGAAAGTCTCTCTCTCTCTCTCAAAGTAGCAGAGCTTGCATTAGGCTTTTGTGGTTATTCAGGAAGTGTGTTCCAAATCCAGAGATGGAATACGGGTGGTCCTCGACTTATGACCACCATTGAGCCCCCAAATTTCTGTGGCTAAGTGAGACATTTGCTTAGTGAGTTTTGCCCCCTTTTCTTGCCGCCTTTTGTTAAGTCGGCCACAGTTAAGTGAGTAACCGTTGTTAAGTGAACCTGGGCTTCCCCGTAGACATGGCTTGGTCAGAAGGTCGCAAAAAGGGGATTTACGTGACCCCGGGACTCTGCAGCCATCATAAAGAGGAGTCACTCGTCCAAGCCTCTGAATTTTGATCAGGTGACCGTGGAGGGGGGTTGGGGGTGCAGTGGTCGCAAGGCTGAAAAATTGGTCATAAGTCGCTCTTTTTCAAGTGCCGTCGTAACCTTGAATGGTCGCTAAATAAACTGTTGTAAGTCGAGGACTACGTGTACCTGTGGGTATGCATGGATGGATAGAATGTGTTAAGAAAGGCGGTTGCCCTCATGCCATCCTGCTAGCCACCCTCGGACCTCTCAGGATGTTGGGAAAAATTGGGATTCGGTGGGCTCTTTGGCCTGGTTAGGATGTTTTATAATGGTTTTGTTAGATATTGAAAGGGCTGTGATGGCAGGGCCTCAGCAAAAAATTTACATATTCCACGAAGGGAATTTCAACTAAACATTGGGGCAGGTGGGACCGTTTGTGGTGGGATAAACTGATACAGAACTGACGACCTCTAAGGTTCTGTTCGGTTCTATTCTGTTCTATTCTATTCTATTCCTTATTCCATTCCATTCCATTCCATTCCTCTATTCTGTTCTGTTCTGTTCTGTTCTGTTCTATTCTATTCCTTATTCCATTCCATTCCATTCCATTCCATTCCATTCCTCTATTCTATTCTATTCTATTCTATTCTATTCTATTCTATTCTATTCTATTCTATTCTATTCTATTCTATTCTTTTACAGAATAACGGAACAAGATTAGATTAGATTAGATTAGATTAGATTAGATTAGATTAGATTAGATTAGATTAGATTAGATTAGATTAGATTAGATTAAGAGTTGGAAGGGATCTTGTAGGTCATCTAGTCCAACCCCCCACCCAAGCAGGAAACCCTGTAGTACCATTTCCAACCAATGGCAGTCCAATAAAATTCTATTCTACTCCATATTTTACTTTACATTCTATTCTATTATTTTACAGAATAACAGAATTTCTATTCTATTCTGTACTCTATTCTCTTCTACTCTCCTTTCTGTTCTAGTCTATTTTCTATTCTATTATTTTACAGAATTACAGAATAACATTCTATTCTATTCTGTATTCTATCCCATTCTATTCTATTCATCCGTACATAATCCCCCAAATAAAAAATATCCCAGCTGTTCCTAGTTTAACAGCGTTTGTGCAGGTTGTGTTCAGGCACTGTAGGACCAGGAAACTGGTCAGAAAACTACAGGATAGCTTGGTTTTTTTTTTTAATAATGCTTTTTTCCTTTTTACACTCGTTGCTATCCTGAAATACCAACTGTCAAATCTGTGGTGCTGCCTTTAGCTGTTGCATCTGTGATCCTCTTCCCCCCCCCCCCCCCCCCCGTCAAATAATCCTTTATTAGACCTGCTCGGTGGGGTGTTAACGAAGCGCCGTCTCCTCTGGAAAAGAGCAGGCCAACAGTCGCAGCCAGGGGTCGAGTGCGGGCGAAGTCATAAAATATGATTTATGCAGGCCGTCTAATTAGCAGGGCTGCCCGCCCACCCTCCAGAACTGATTCACGTTGACTTTAATCAGTCAGCTCGTTAACCCTGAGAAACACGAGGCTCCTTCCGTGAATAGGGGGAGGGGGGGTGGGGGTTCGGAGCCCATATTTTCGGGGGGGGGGGGGGGGACACCGCATGGCACTCCTAATTGCCTGGTGGACAATTGCTGGGGAACATGGAATAGAATAAGAAAGAATAGAATAGAACAGAAAAGGAATAGTCTAGACTAGAACAGAACAGAACAGAATTAGGACTAGACTAGACTAGACTAGACTAGACTAGACTAGACTAGACTAGACTAGAATAGAATAGAATAGAATAGAATAGGGAATAGAGTATAGTAGAATAGAATAGAATAGAATAGAATAGAATAGAATAGAATAGAATAGAATAGAATAAGGAATAGACTAGACTAGACTAGACTAGACTAGAATAGAATAGAATAGAATAGAATAGAATAGAATAGAATAATTAAAATAAAATAATAAAATAAATAAAATAGAGCAGAACAGAATAAGGAATAGACTAGACTAGACTAGACTAGACTAGACTAGACTAGACTAGACTAGAATAGAATAGAATAGAATAGAATAGAATAGAATAGAATAGAATAGAATAGAATACTTTATTGGCCAAGTGTGATTGGACACACAAGGAATTTGTCTTTGGTGCAAATGCTCTCAGTGTACATAGAAGAAAAGAGACATTTGTCAAGAGTCAAGAATCATCAGGCACAACACTTAATGACAGTCATAGGGTACAATAAGCAATCAAATCATACTAGGAAACAGTCCATATAAATCGTAAGGATACAAGCGACAAAGTTACAGTCCTACAATCACAAGTGGGAGGGGATGGGAGATAAGGAGCGATGAGAAGAGTAATAGTAATAGTAGTGCAGACTTTGTAAATAGTTGGACAGTATTGAGGGAATTATTTGTTTAGCGGAGTGATGGCATTTGGGGAAAACACTCATTGTGTCTAATTGTTCTGGTGTGCAGGGCTCTCTAGCGTCGTTTTGAGGGTGAGAGTTGAAGCAGTTTATGACCAGGATGTGAGGGGTCTGTAGATATTTTCCCAGCCCTCTTTTTGACTCAGGGTGCAGGATACAGGTCCTCCTTGGGAGGCAGGTTGGTGGTAGTGATTGTCTCAGCAGTGGTTTGAAGAAGAGCTAACAATGGATTTTTGGCGTGGAGTAGGTCTAAAGTAATGTTCCTAAATCGGAGGGGCTGCCCCAAAGAAGAGGAGGGGGGGTCAAGCTGTTCTTCAAAGCCCCAGAAGGCAGGAGAAGAAGCAACGGAGGGAAACTAATCAAGGAGAGAAGCAACCTAAAAATAAGGAGGAATTTCCTGACTGTGAGGACGATTAATCAGCGGAACGGCTTGCCTCCAGAAATCGCGGTGCTCCATCACTGGAAGTTTTAAGAAGAGATTGGGCAGCCATTTGTCTGGAATGGGCTAGGGTCTCCTGCTTGAGCAGGGGGTTGGACTAGATGATCTCCATGGTCCCTTCCAGAATAACTCTCTCATTCTGTATTCTTGCATTCAAAGATACCAAAAAAATCCCCTTCCGACTCCAGGATTACGTTCTATCCTTGAGGGCCAAAACTGGTGGCAGTGGAAAAATAATGGGTTGTTGTTGTTTTTTTAAAGAGACCGGACAGCCACTTTGTCTGATATGGTATTAAGTCTTTTGTTTGAGCAGCGGGGTTGGACTAGCAGACCTCCAAGGTCCCTTGCAACTTGGTTATTCTGTTAAAGCAAGGTCGACAGGTTGGAAAAGCCTGACGGTTATTTGGCTCCTGCTCAAGGCTGTCCAGTCTCTTGCAATGGTGGGGGTGGTGGTTTGGTTGCTATCTCTTGTCTTAATGGAAACCCTAAACACCCCTTCAGACAAACGGTTATTATCCCATCTTTTCTTAAAAACTTCCGATGTTGGAGCAGTTTTACAACTTCCGGAGGCAAAGTTAACTTAACCTGTTGCAGGGATTCACTTAGCAACCGGGCAAGCCAGGGGGTCAAAACGGGACGAAACTGGGATTTATTTTATCAATGGTTAGGCAAAAAAATACGGAAATGAAATATTAGAGAATTTTATAATACAAGGATAACAGAATTATACAGAACATAATATAAAAATGTACTACTGTTGGATGGACTTCGGATGACGTAATGAATTGTTATAGTATAAATTAAAATCTTGAATATCTCGTATAAAATGATGGAATAATAGTTTAGTCAAATAAATGATTAACACTGATAATTATACATATATATATTAGATTGAGAATATGAGAATTTATACAAACTGTAAGTGAGGACTATGGAGAGGATGCACAAAAGATTTGTAACCAACCGACATGCTGTATGTATGTAACTGGAAGATGGTTTTAGGTTTTGTTTGTGTATGTTTGCCTAAAAATAAAAATTCTTTTTAAAAACGGGGCGAAACTTACTTTCACCACTGTCTGGCTTAGCAGCAGAAAGGCCAGGCTCAGTTGTGGTCATAAGTCGAGGACTGTCTGTATGGCAGGCAAATCGGAGTTGCCTAAAAAAAGAATTCATCTCAATTCTTTCTCTCTCTCTTTTTCCCTTCCATCTTTTCAGCCGGCCTTGGGACACCCAGACGCCAAGCCCAGCGCCAAGACCAACATGCTGAGAGGCCGCATCCCTGCAACCTCCGCTGACGAGCAACCCCACATTGGGAACTACCGCCTGCTGAAGACCATCGGCAAGGGCAATTTTGCCAAAGTCAAGTTGGCGCGTCATGTCTTGACGGGGAAAGAGGTGAGGGCATCTCCGGGCGGGAAGCCAGAAAGAAGCGACAGGCCTAACTTGCTTGTTGGGAATCCCTGGGTCTGTTTAGACCTTGCCCGTCAGAAATGCACAAAAGCGGATCACGTGTCCTCGAGACACAGCAACGGTCATAAGTATGGACCAGTCTCCAAGCTTCCGAATTTGGATCACATGACCGCGGGGATGCTTCAAAGGTCTTAACTGCAAATAACGGTCCTAGGTCACTTTTTTCAGTGCCGTTGTAACTTTGAACGGACACTAAATGAATTGTAGGATTATCTATATTTGCTGCCTATTTCACCGGGGGGGGGGGGGTTACACTAAGCCACATGAATGACTGAATGAATGGATGGATGTGGGTGGATGGATGGATGGATGATAGAGATGATAGCGAGAGAGATGAGAGAGAGATTGGATGGATGGATGGATGTGGATGAATGGATGGATGATAGAGATGATAGTGAGAGAAATGAGAGAGTGATATGATGGATGGATGGATGTGGGTGGATGGATGGATGGATGATAGAGATGATAGCGAGAGAGATGAGAGAGATATGATGGATGGATGGATGATAGAGATAACAGAGAGAGATGAGAGAGATGGATGGATGGATGGATGATAGAGATGATAGATGGACGGACAGACGGATGGATGGATAGATAGATGATGGATAGATGATAGATAGATAATTGATAGATAGATGGATAGAAAGAAAGAAAGAAAGAAAGAAAGAAAGAAAGAAAGAAAGAAAGAAAGAAAGAAAGAAAGAAAGAAAGAAAGTACAAACAGAACAGAGGCAAACCAAAAGAACAATAAAGTAAACAATGCAAAGAAACACAATGAGATTAAATACATCAGCATGATAAACAAAAAAGATAGGTGGGTGGAGAAAAGTGGGAGGGGCTGGAGGGGGGTATCCGCCATCAGTCTGGCAGCCACTTCCAGTTTGTCTAAATTTCACCCCCCCCACCCCCAAATCCTTCAAAATCACCCAGGGAAGGTAATTCTAACGTAGTAGCTGTTGCCGCTGAAAGTCCCATTTTTAGCTGTCCGTAGAAATGGGCTTCCCCGAAATCTTCCTTTTTCAGAGTGCCAGGAAATGCTGGTTGTTCTGCGGAGCCTTAGAGACCCCCAGAAGGGGCAAATGGCCCTTAATCGTACAAGCTTCTTTTTTGCTACCATTCAGACAGGCCTGTCTGTGACTATTTTTGGTGCTGTTTTCTCACTCAGGTGGCTGTGAAAATAATCGACAAGACGCAGTTGAATTCCTCCAGCTTACAGAAGGTAAGGAGGCGGTTTTCTGGCTTTACGAATGTGCAGCGGCCCTTATTTCCTTCGGGGTGGACCCCCTGTGCCAAATGGCTGGCTTTTTAAATCTCGCTTTTTGTTTCTTAACGGAGGGGTGAAGTGATTGGCTGAGAGTCCCTGATGTCAGAGAAGGATCCTGCGGTTGGTGGGAAAGTAGAAAAGCCTGAAAGATGCCCTGGATTGGAGTAATTGGAAGAAAAATGCAAGGGAAGCCTTCGCGATCCCAAATGCATGGGGGGCTTTTTTTGGATGTAGTTGGAGGCCTGGTCCTCTCTCCCCTGATGAGAGGTTTCAGGATTGTGCAAGATTTGAGACCTTCCTACCTCCAGTTCTCATGAGCCTCAGCCAGTGGGGGATGCTGGGATTTGTTGGTCTATATCCAGACAACGTTCCCTTCCCTTCTCTTACTTTTCTGTCTTGTCTTCCTTTCCTTTCCTTTCCTTACCATTCCATTCTATTCCTTTCTACTTTTCTCTTTTTTCTTTCTCTTCCCTTCCCCTTCCTTCCTTCCTTCCTTCCTCTCTCCCTTTCCTTTCCCCTTTTATCTTCCTTTCCTCTCCTCTCCATTCCTTTCTACTTTCCTTTCTCTTTTCTCTCCTTCTTTTTCTCTTCCCTTCCCTTCCCCTTCCTTCCTTCCTTCCTCTCTCCCTTTCCTTTCCTGTTTTATCTTCCTCTCCTCTCCTCTCCTCTCCTCTCCTCTCCTCTCCTCTCCTCTCTTTTCCATTCCTTTCTACTTTCCTTTCTCTTTTCTCTCCTTCTTTTTCCCTTCCCTTCCCCTTCCTTCCTTCCTTCCTTTCTTCCTTCCTTCCTTCCTTCCTTCCTTCCTTCCTTCCTTCCTTCCTTCCTCTCTCCCTTTCCTTTCCCCTTTTATCTTCCTTTCCTCTCCTCTCCATTCCTTTCTACTTTCCTTTCTCTTTTCTCTCCTTCTTTTTCTCTTCCCTTCCCCTTCCTTTCCCCTTCCTTCCTCTCTCCCTTTCCTTTCCCCTTTTATCTTCCTTTCCTCTCCTCTCCCCTCTTTTCCTTTCTTCTATCTTCCTTCCCTTCCTTTCTCTTTTTCCCTTCCCTTCTGTCTTGTCTTCCTTTCCTTTTCCTCTCCTTTCATCCGACTTCCTTCCCTTCCCTTCTTGTGGATGGACTTCAGCTCCCAGAACTCCCCAGCCAGCCTGTTTTAGGATCTGTGGACTTCCATGTTCCAGAACCCCCCCAGCCAGCATTCCGCAAAGTCCCTCCTCCCCAGGCGTTTTGGTGCCAGGAGATGAATTCTGGGAATTGGCAGTTTCAGCGCACCCAGAAGAGACCCCATGGCTGTGTGTGTGTGCGTGTGCGTGTGTGTAAGGCTGCTTCCAGATAGGGGAGCACAGCCATGAAGAGGCCTGTGAGTAACTCTCCCTGTTGCGTTTCCTCCTCCTCTTTTCCTCCAGCTTTTCCGGGAAGTGCGAATAATGAAGGTTCTGAATCACCCGAACATAGGTGAGAATGCTAGCCCCAGTTCCCTCCCCCCTCCCTCCCCTCTTGTTTGCTTCCCCTCCCCACTTCCAGATGTTGCACTTCCTTATCTGCCAGTCATGGCATCGAGCAGCCGATGGGCCCGGCCTGCCAAGCCTCACGCCAGCCTTTCGTTGCTCTCCACGTCTGGATTTGCTGCCCGGAGCGTGAGAAAGTTCGTTTCCCGCACATCTGGCACATCTGGAGAATGGGGGTCTCCCTTGCCCCCGATCCCGATCCCAAAAACCGCGGGATTCTGCGACACGGCCGTAGAAAAGCCCCGCCGCCACCTCCTCGTGGCTCCGGGAGCCTCTTGAGTTGGGGTCTGCCACCCCTCCCTCTGGTAGTGCCATTCCCCAACCACGGGTCACCCTCCACTTACGGCAGTTCATTTAGCGACCGTTCAAAGTTACAAACAAATCCTGCCTGCCAGAAACCGGTCGGCAAGGTTGCGAATGCTTTTTTTTTTTTTCCAGGGTGGCGGGAGGTCCCGTGGCCAAAAAAATGATTCGGGAGGGTCTAGGACAACTCACCCCGGCTGACTCGCCACGGGCTGACCACCGGTGGTCCTCGACTTAACAACCGTTCATTTAGTGGCCGTTGGAAGTTACAACGGCCCTGGGAAACGTGGCATGCCACCCTTTTTCACGCTTGCGACCACTGGAGAATTCCCAGGGTCACGCGATCCAAATCCAGCCGCTTGGCAACGGACTCCTATTTATGACGGGTGCCACTTAACAACTGCAGCGATTCCCTTAACCCCCGTGGCAAGGAAGGTCGTAAAACGAGACAAGCTTTGACGTATTGATTTGTTTTTATTTATTAGTTTAGGGGATTGATATTGCCGCCCATTCGCCCACGGCAACTCGAGGCGGTTTACAGAATATAAAGCCTCATATAAAAGCAATAAAACTAATGAGAGTCCTGTAATCAATTAATATCATAAAATCACCCCCCAGCCCCGCCCTGGCGATAGCACCTCACACAAGCCATTCAATGGGCTCCATCCCGCTCTGGGTTCCCCAGGCCCGCTGGCAGAACCAGGTTTTCAGCGCCTTCCGGAATTAGAGACGGGGCCAATTTAATCTCAGAGAGAGGGGGCCACCACAGAAAAGGCCCTTCTTCTAGGTCCCACCGGGGGTATTTCCCTCAGAGACAAGACCCGCAGCATTCGCTGGCTCCCTGCAGCAGTTCACCTAACAAATGCGGCAAGAAAACCTAAGTTGTCTCGCTTAGCGACGGAAATGTTGGGACTTCGTTGTGGTCGTAAGCCGAGGACTGCCTGTAATGGCTTCTTCTTAACCTGCAGCCGCGTTTCCTCTCTCTTCCCGAGCCTGGCGTGTCCGCTTCCTTTCTTTGACCAGGTGTTTCTAATCTTTCTCCCCCCCTTATTTTTTATTTTTTTTGCCTTTCAGTTAAATTATTTGAAGTCATAGAGACGGATAAAACGCTGTACCTCGTCATGGAATACGCCAGTGGGGGTGAGTGCGTGTCGCTTTCCCCCACCCCAGCTCCAAATTCCAGGAATCTGATGGGATCTGCTCTCGCTGTACATTAAACAGTACCTTCATCAAGAATCCTAAGACACCAACACTGAATCGTAGCCATAGGATACTAGATAAGCAATCAAATCATACTAGGAAACTAAATGAAACAATATAAATCCTGACGATACAAGGTTATAGTCATAAGTAGGTAATAGTAAGGATGAGAAGAAGAATAGTAATGCAGTCGTAGTAAATAGTTTGACAGTGTTGTGGAAATTAGTTGTTTAGCAGAGTGGTGGCAGACAGGAAGGAAGGAAAATTGGAGAATAGAATAGAATAAAATAGAATTCTTTATTGGCCAAGTGTGATTGGACACACAAGGAATTTGTTTTCGGTGCATAAGCTCTCAGTGTACATAGAAAATATATTCATCAAGAATCCTAAGACACAACACTGAATCGTAGCCATAGGATACTAAATAAGCAATCAAATCATACTAGGAAACTAAATAAAACAATATAAATCGTGACGATACAAGGTTATAGTCCTAAGTAGGTAATAGGAAGGATGAGAAGAAGAATAGTAATGCAGTTGTAGTAAATAGTTTGACGGTGTTGTGGAAATTAGTTGTTTAGCAGAGTGGTGGCAGACGAAGGAAGGAAGGAGAGGGAGGGAGGGAAGGAAGGAAGGAAAATTGGAGAATAGAATAGAATAGAATAGAATAGAATAGAATAGAATAGAATAGAATAG